CCCCCCCCTTATGTGGGCTTTTTTTAGAATGACAAGAAGGCATTATTTCATTTGTCGTCAATGAATGCCGATGTAGCAACAAGAGTAATACAAAAAGTAGACAACTCAGGGATCCTACCGATTCACACTCCCATGGTCAAAGATGCACTGCGGCTGGCAAGAAAGATCTTAGATGATGTCAGACATCCATTGAATACCTCATTGTCCAGATGCCTCTAACTATGAACTGATACAAGATCTTAATATCGATGCATACCCGGCTGTACAGAAAATTCGTCGTTCCTCTCATAGCGCACCGTTTAATTAATCATATTTCGGAGAGTAGTGAACTTTTCAGCAAATTATACTGTAGAACTTATCCCTATTTAGCTGTTTCAAGCAGTAACTTCAATTCAAGTAGCTCGGTGCCCACTAGAAAAACTAGGCGAAACTGTCTGCCACAGCGACAGCAAGTGCTGTTTTGAATATGCAATAAAGGAACAGATGATTAACAAAAATTGCTGTAATTTTCCACTCTTTTCTACGTTGTTATGAGGCACTGAATCAGAAACTCCCAAAATCACAAGGCGATTACGATTTGGCTGAAAATAGAGCCCGCGACCCGAAAGGAGAAACGGCGATGGAAGATGAAGATGAAAGTAAAGCTGCGACCTCACAATTTGCAGAGATTTACCTACACATTTTTTATTGTAGAGGGATTGATAGCGATAAAGCTTTAAGACAGCAATTCATTACGTAGGTTTTTTCCTTCTCTTTGCTGCTTTCAGTTATCGCCTTAAATAAGTTATTTTATGCATAGATCACGTGACTATCAGGCTGCCATGCGTGCATACATTACATTACTGTAGCATATATTTTCAAACGAGCTTCAGGAGTAAGATTGGAGCGAAGTGCGCGTCCCCTTAACTCAGTAAACGATAAATTGACATGTTTTGTGTAGTGTTATGATCGCGGTGGCGATGGTTTTAACATTTGATGAGGATGTCTGATCATTCTTTTTGTATGAATAAGCATTCTCTTGACTACCCAAGGACAGATGGTGGGCATAGAACATGCTGTTGTCATGCTTTGAAATCTAGAGCATTGAGTTCGTCTGCTTTCAGCCTCTTGAAGTAAATTTCCATATTACCCGAAATGCGTAGCAGTCTTTGAAAATGAATTGAAACTGTTTGTTTTTTGAATATCTGGGTAAAGGACAAGGGTCTGGCGAAGATAACCCATTGTTACGGTTGCAATACTACGGTCATCCGTTAAGCAGTTGGTAGTTAACGAACAATACGTATGCTACGCAGGCTTTCTGCTTACGTATTTGCCAGATCTCATTAGCTAGGTAAGTAAACAAGTCAGACTTTCCTAAAATGGATAAATTATTTCCTTTAAGAATTCGTTACGTTGAATTATGCATTAACTTTACAGTTCTCTGTTCCGATTCAACTTTTTTTCCATATTGTCTTTGTTTAAGGTTGAGGTACATTTTGTACCAACTTAATCGCGGTGAACTCACCACACCTGACCTGTGCAAAAATTTGGAATATGTAGCATTGGCTTTGGAGTCTTCTTATGCAGAAGGATGCAAGTATGATTGCTTGTTCAGTCGACCCTGAGTTTCTTTCTCTGATGATTCAGCGTTAGGCTCATACAAAACGAAGAAGAAGTAGCACAGTTTGAGAACACTGACGTACCAGAAGAGGTTCGAGAATGGTTGGCACTTACCTTCACACAACAAGCTTCGCAGCAGCCTCAAAAGCACAGCTTCAAATCTGTTGTGAACGCTATAAGGACTGGCATTCGCTTGGACCGGTAACCTTGAAGTGTCATTTGTAAACTTCATTTGGAAACTGTATTTCAGGATAAAAAAGCGTATGTCCAGTTATACTGCCGACCTGGTTCCGCCGGAGGTTGCAGAATTGTTAAAGGTACTAATAGTGGGCACCACTAACGATCTTTATTTTTAAACTTAGGATCTTGATTCCTGGGAGTTCGATGTCTTCCGCCTGAACGACGTCAGCAACAACAACGCTCTTAGATTCATCGGTTTGGAGCTGTTCTTCAGATATAACTTTTTTGGCAAATTTAAGGTATCCTAACATCTGAAATTTATATAAATTTATATTTCTCGTATTAACTGACAGTTGTGTTGGTACTCATTATCAGATTTTCCCTGCGAATCTAGTACTTTTTACGATGACCGTTCAGTCGCGGTGTTTGTGGTATTTTGTTTTTCTCCAATCTTCCATTTTAAACATAGTTGTGTACATTGAGTATATGTTAATATGAATAACCTTTTCACGCTGGGTTTACTTTCAGCATATTTGCTGCTTAATGCCCAAGTGGCGATTTAAACTGACCACGGTTCTGTGGTGGTATCGCATCTGCGGTTAATCACTTTATTCGTCTGAGACATACTTAGCTGATTACCGTAGGTATTTCTACGATTGTTTCATGCTTATTGCGATAGTTACGTTTAAACCTATGCGAGGAAGTCATTACACTGAGTTATGCGACACGCTGCATTGCCACCTTGCGTGTCGTCGCCTTCCGCCTTCTGTTCAGTTAAACAGGCCACGGTTCTGTTATATTTAAGTGCGTACGATTTAAGGTTACATAATTAAGTCAGAACATGCCAACTCGCCTTGCAAAGAAGTGAATGCTCTCATCACTTAATGTTTGTTCACCTGTAAGCATTACAACAACGTTTTTTATTTTGTACTGATACTTCTGTACTGTCAACCGGATGGATGTTATTACCCCAAGTTATGCGGCATTTTTTGCTGCTGGTTATCTGGAGAGACCATTTAAACGGGCTACAGGCCCACGGTATAGGACAGCTTGTGAGTCACCAAGGTTTGCCACTCAAGTTTACCAGCGCTATTTACCATTTATTCTATTTCTATCTGTCTTTCTATTTTTGTGTTTATAAGGCGTGTTTTTCGGCGGCCTCAGTCGGTCTTATCAGTTTTGCTCTGATGATACTTCCAGTTTGGTGAAGAAACGTTTAGACAATTAAAAGCTTTTACACTAGCTCTGTACTTTGAACAATGGGTCGTCAGGTTTGTTACAGATGTAATAATGGACCTAGGAACGAGAACGCGAATTATCACTTATTTACATTATCTGAATTGTTACCTCCGCGCGATTTTTTACGCTACTCGAAATCAAGTGATTTTGTGTTGATTGACACATAAAAATTTTGCTTGCTTGAAATCAGTTGCAGTCTGCACCATGTTAGCATGATCTCATGACTTACTCACTCATTTTTTTCAACAAGGGAAGGTTGCCAGTGGTTAAATCTCAGTGATGTTTATTTGGAGCAGATAGTAATCCTGTTTTCTGGTGAAAAATACATGTATCCGTTTAAATGTGGCTCATAGTGCCTGCCGTAATGTTTGAATTGTCGGATTCATCCTCTGGGGTTCCTGTTGCCCAAAGTTTTTCTTTATGTGCAATATTTCGTTTTTGCGAAGTGCGCTAGCGTTGAATTATAAACCGTATGCGTGATTTTTCTTTCATGTTCGAGAAAAGTATTTTGAGAGGAAGTTCTCACTATTTTACGGATGCGTTAGTCTCTAGTCGAAAAATGAACAGGTATCCTTCGAACTAGAAATTTTTCATCGATAATAAGCTGATTGTTAAAACAATGCAGATGCGACTCTTTGAAAGAATAATGTCCAAACCAAGCACAGCGACGATTTATATCTAAAACTTTATGGCCAATTTTTAAATAAATTCTGAAATCGCTTAATTTCTCACTAGAAATGATTTAGCTTTATTGAAAGTATGTGAGAAAATAATGTTACTTTTCAGCATATGCGAAAGAATAATGTGCATAATTTCAATAATAAGCTACAGTAAAATTGGACCAGTAAATTATTGCTGTAGACAAGTATTTCAGTGGAACTGATATAGACGGTCCACTGCACGCCAGAAACATAAGAATTGCTTCTAAGAGTTTATACTTCTTGCTCTTTCACACAGCCGTCATTTCAGAGATTAACGCTAACTTTCTAAAATTGTTATAAGTCAGAGTTTATCGGCGGTCCCTACTGATCTGCTTTTGCAGATTGCTGATTTTTATGTTCTGATTGAGCTTTAAACATATAATGCTATATATTGCTGTTGTAATCGTCATGTTAGGCTGAAAGAATCTTGAAAGATCTGTTACTCGGATGAATAGTGCGTTGCCTGTTGCTGTCTAATCCTCTCATTTTTATTCTAATATGCATGAACATTGCCTTTTAGATACCGATGTGTAAAATGGAAGCATTCTTGAATGCACTCCAAGTCGGATATAGCAAGCATGACAATCCATACCATAATCTGGTTCATGGAGCAGATGTAACACAAACAGCTAACTGGATGTTATGTAAGACTGGCACAATGGTAATAATGTTCATTCGCTGAAATGTTAAATCATATTTGCCTCGTTCAGGAGTGCCTTTCAGATCTTGAACTTTTCGCTTATTTATTTTCGGCAATGATTCATGACTACGAACATACAGGTCATACGAACAACTTTCACGTGCAGTCTAACAGTGATTACGCCATGCTTTATAATGACCGGTCTGTGTTAGAAAATCACCACATCAGCTCGATCTTCCGCATGATGCGTGCAGATAAGCAGCTGAACATTCTGTCGAATTTGACCAATGAGGAATACAGGTGATGCTGTGTACCCAAACGAACCTTCATGCAGAAATGATACCATACGATTTAGAGAATTTCGGAATTTGGTTATTGAAATCGTTCTTTCCACGGATATGTCGACTCATTTCACGCAGGTCAAAAATCTGAAAACTATGCTTGAATCAGCTGAAGGGTATGCATTTTAAATGTTTTTTCTCCATAATTAAAAACTAATGGAGGTCGTTTTGAATATCTCTGAGCAAGTGTTTGCTGCTCACTTTCACACTTGTTTCATGGTTATCGCATTATTCTGGCATAAGCTAATTAATGCTCGAATTAACGACTGATAATTTGTCGTTTTGAATCGCTGTTACAAATGACTTATTGCTAGAAACTAGCATGCCCCCTTTTTCCACGTTTTGTGTTGCTTCTTTTAGCTTTACACTATTTAGTTAATTTGTAAAGGACTAAACGCTTTTTAGTCGTGAACTGTGGCTCATACGCTTCTGACTTTGCGTTAATTTATTCTGATATCTGATGATCCTTCAGATTATTTTATTCCGTAGTCTTTGCTATTTGATCTTCTTGCAGAAGTATTAATGCAAGTGCCTTTCAGATTGATCAGATGCTAAAAAGGCCACTTCGACATGTAGTTTCTTGAGATAATGCATTCTAAAAAATGCTTTAAAAATTAACTGCTTCCTTTCGTTTAAACCTTCATGACTTCATATTGCCCGCCTTTTTTCCAGATGCAGAGATTGTCGCTGGTCAGCTCTATCCTAGAAAAGATCTCTCAGAAAAAAGAATTAACAGTGAAATTTACATTTTCTTTAAATTCATGCAGTTATTGTTTGAATTTGAAAAATAGATCATATCTATTCATTTTCCAGAAGCAACTTTCAGATGCTGCATTTTTTTAAAAAATTCTCCGCTTTTATTCGCACGTCAAAATTTTTAATTGCAACCGCTTCTATTCATAATTTATTTTATCTGAGCGCAATTTTTTCAGGGTTGATAAGGTTAAAGCATTATGCTTTATCATTCACTGCTGTGATATCTCGCATCCGTCTAAGCCGTGGTACATTCATCTTAGGTGGACAAAACAGCTTTTGGAGGAATTCTTCCGCCAAGTAAAATTTAATTTATTCATTTATTGCGCAGAAAGAAAACAGTTTTCTTAGGGCGACCAAGAAGCAGCTCTTGGGCTGCCCTGTTCCCCACTGTGTGACAGGCATACGGTACAAATGGCTAAATCTCAAATCGGCTTCATCGATTTCATTGTTGAGCCAACGATGATCATCTGCGGGGAAATGCTGAATAAACTGCTCGAACCTTTGTTGTCAGTGCTCAGAGAAAAGTCTACTCCCCATTTCAACCACGACGTAGTGTCTGATAACAGGTAAGCCTGCTAATTTATATTAAAGTTACTCCTTTGAAGTTTGGTCAGCTTTCATCAGGTTGTTTTATGTAAAAATGATTAACGTTACGAAGGCCTTCATAACACCTCAGTGCAAATGAGCTTATGACACCGCTATGTTCCCATTTCTAAATAGTATGGGGTGACTTCAAAATATACATTTCGGTTTGTATTGATCTCAGTAATAAGCTGGCTCATGCATCTTAAGTTGTAGAAAGTTAGAAACTGACTCACAACGATTGCATTCAAGGTACTGTAGAATCTTCTTCCGTTCAAGTAGATATTTTTGTTATTTCCAATATAAAGAGCAGATACTTCAGTCTCCAAGGATAATGGCCCATAACTTCGCTATTCCACTGTGATCCTTCAGAGGTTTATTTTGAGTTTTTCGATTGCCCAAATTGTCGTCGTAAGTAAAGGCTTATCTATTTGTATGGTTGCATGTTATCCTGGTTGGCCGCCGCCTATAAATATGATTTGGAGATGGGGTTTTAACACAGTTTTTGAACGAAATCATTTGCCTTAGTTTTGAACGCGTGATTGTTACCCGCTACAAAACTTACGGTACATGATGATCCGCGATTGCAGTTGGAAGTTTCCTTGTTCGATCTATTGTCATTAGCCACTGTGGCATAGGTTGTGCTGCTAGAAAAAAGATCAAATTTTTCGCACAAAATCATCTGACATGCACAAGCTGTCTGATTATGTCTGCATGGCATTGGAGTTACAGAGATTTTTTTTTACTGTTTATGTGATTCTTAATTGAAGATGTAGAGTATTTTTTCCAGCTTCAAAAGAATCCCCGTTGATACGCGCGGCGAATTATGCATACCACAGCCTTGGATGCAGATGATTCAAGAGAACAAAGCACACTGGAAAGATTACAAAGAGCAAGGTGCGAAAATGTTTTGTTTGACTTATGCTTATTTGAATTGTTACAGATGATGGTAAAGAGAATGCCACCCAGTGAAACGTTTACAAACGATTGGAATTACCAGCTTGTTGATTTGTTCTTTCTAAACACGTGTACTTTATGGCATTCATTGTTCGCCGTAAAGAAATTCAACGGGAAGAACTGGGGTCATGCAACTGAGTCGCTATGTGCAACCCAAATGTTCTGTTGTGATATTATTATTATCGTTTTGTGATAATAAGGTTATTGCTTGCATAAAATGTAGCAGTCGCGTTTTCTGACTTGTGGTTCAGCAACCTTGGCCGCAAAAGTTATTTTCAAGGAAACGAATCTTGTTACCGTTTCAATGCCTAGCGTGCGTTTAATTAAGCGATGTTGCGCATGAAGATAAATGGTCTGACTTATGACTGAATTTTTGAAACTTAATTGCAGTATCGAAGTTCGTTGCTTTTCTATCTGCACGGAATTTGGAGAAAGTCTAATTTGGATACAAAGCTGGATTCCTAACTCCGCCATGGCCGGTCCCAAGCCCGGATGAGAAAGGAGGAGGGTTGGAGACCGTGGCAAGTC